ACAAATTTTGTCAGGAACACTTTTTTGACATATGTTACACATGGTAACAGATCTAAATGGAATTGGTATTGCTGGGTTTGATTGATTCTGCGTCCATTTCTTAACATGTCTGCAATGGTTATGTGGAAATCTGTTTATCGGTTCCATTGGTACCGTAAGTGATATAAGTTCAAGGGTAACGTGGCACCAGTGAAACCCGTCATCACTGCTTCACAGTTCTAATTATATTTTAATCTGAAAAGGGTGTTTTTCCCCAATAAATGAGAACAATATAATATTAACAATCTGAGAACGGACACCGCAATAGCTTATCTATTAAGAGAGCCAAGCAAGAAAAGCGTGCAAATACGGCCACACAGCAACCATGTCCCAACTGCAGCTAGCTTAACCGAAATCAAAACAGATTTGATAACCCCGGCGGGCAGTCGTAAAACGCTTAATATCAATAAGGTTCATCCTTGCATGGCCCCAATGCTTGCCATCTAATCTAGAAGTAATCCGTTTAAAACTATAGCCTCTATCGCGTTCACAAAGTTTCGGCAAATGGGGGATAACACTGAGTATCGATAGGGTTCATCCTCTCGTGACCTCCGTTGAAAGAAATCCGTTGAAAACTGTAGCCCCCATCACGTTCACAGGGTTTTCAGAAAAAGGGGGATAATTCCGTAACGGAAAGTGGCAGAACGGTGAATGTCGATTGGGTTCGTCCCCTCATGACTCAAATGCATTAAACCAAAATCGGCAAAAGGTTTTCGGCAAAGGTTGGGGGGGGGGGGGGACTCGCGGAACGATGAAAATCGATAGGCTTCATCCTATCATGATTGCAACACTACCATTCTCTTATGACCACAATGCTTCCACGAAATTTGCAAAAACATCCGTTAAAAACTACAGCCTCTATCGTGTTCACAAGATTTTCGGGAAACAAGGGGTGACTCCGGTACGAAAGGTCTCAGAACTTTGAATATTGACAGGGTTCGTCCACTCATAACGACGATGATGCACACAAACTTTAAATTTGAAAAGAATTCGTCAAAATCTATAGCGTTCACAATCCAATTGTTGTCCGACGGAACGAAGGACAGGGTGGCGACATAATACGATCACACTGATATGTTGCCGTATAAAAATGGTAATTAATTAAATTACACAGGTATTTTGAGTTATATATATCGCACATATGGAGCAAATAAGCTAGCTTAAAGCTGATCTCCAATTACAAAACTACAGAAATAATTAAATTTAAAAAAAGTTAGCGCCCATACAATCGTCATACTTGTTTTCAATTTGTAGAACAAACATGCCGATTGCTTACAGGCGTACAAAAACAGAGGCTTTAAATTCCCCCTTTCGTGAGGTAGATTTCAAAAGTTAGGAAACGGGTGAGTTCTACTTTGACTTGACTTGACGTGGGGCTTAACGGCCCTTTTCATCTAGGGTGATATCGCATGCGCTTTTTATAACCTGGATACTGCTAGCTTAGCAATTAAACTCTTACGGTTTAAAAATTTAAAAATCGCTCTAAATTTTAAGCTAGCTCATATCTTGCCGTGCGAATGACAATCTGATTAAAATATAGATCTATATTTCGTTTTTTTTTTTTTTATACTTTCGATGGCCTACACATTTAGATTTGACAAGTGGTACTTGAAGATCGTGTCAGGGGTCGTACGAACGGCTTTTGACCCTATGACGTCAGACATTGATTAATCGATCAGCTTTGGCGTTTCTAGTGGTTTACCCACAGTTCTGTGCATGGCACGCCAAGAAGTCGCCGACATAACAGACTGTTTCATTGTATTATCCCTCACTTCAACCAAAACGCCGGTAATATAACAAGTCTTTCAGATCCTAGTGTAGTAAAGACAAGTAAAACGAAATTTTGAACTATAAAAAACGAAACGAAATAATATCTCTGTTTTAATCAGATTGTGCGAATGGCATTATATTTACTAAATGCATTAACATGGGCCGAAGCAGTTAAGTATCACCGTGGGTTATTACTATGCAGATTAGATTTTTGTACAGATAAAATAGAAATGAATAAATTATCCACTGGCATGGATAATCTAGAACTGAATAAATATATTAGTATGGATAATTTGGAATCATTCAAAGAATATAATTTGGAATCGCGCTTTATTTAGAAGTCGAAAATTGATTATGACTTTTAACCGCAAAACTTTATGTGATATAGATTGGAACTAACAAAGTAAAATGGTCTGTTTCGACACCACGGTTCTTTTTGTTATTTTTGTCATATATAAGATCCATTTCTATCACGGAATTCATTCAGTGATATTATAGACAGTCAATCCATACAGTGATTTTCACTGTCAGTTAATTTGGTACAGCAGGGGGTTAATTTGGTAACGCAGGGGGTTATTGAAATGGGTTCGCCCTTCCGTTCTTTGTCTCTCTGTCTGCCTGTCGGTCACACTTTTTGGGACACAATAACTCTGTTAGAATGTGTGAACTGGGTGTAGATGAATGGTTAGGTGTAACACATGAACACTTGGTAAATCTACGGAAATAAAATTTGATTCTGCAGTAGCAGCTATTATAATTAATTTTTAACGATAGACATTTTTTGCAATTAGGGGTTCGTTCCTCACCTTTCAAGTCTGACCTTTTAATTTCATACATCACTTTTAGTATATTCTTTTCTTGATTGGAATTGACACCCCTCGTTCCATTCTGTATATGAAATCGTGTTTTCCCAGCTCCTTTGCACCATGACATATTCAAGCCATCGTCCTACATCATTTTTAGTATACTATTTTCTTGCTCGCATATTGGTATGGATAATTTAGAACCATACGGGGAAAAGAAAAAAAAAACAACATTGGTAATTTTGTGTTGAATATATAGTACTGATAACCCAGAAATAAATGGATACTATAGAATTGAAATGATTATATTTTAAAATCATGGTATTTAATTGATTGTCGACTTCACAATATTGACTAAATGAGTGGTCACAACACGGGGAGATTCAGGGTCAGACGGTTTAGACTATAATATGTTTAAAGGAGCTAAATCGCTAACATTTGGGACCTAGAAATTGACAAAAGTGGGTCGCAACGCATATAATACTGTAATATGAATGTATATAAACTGATTTACATTCAATGGTTTCCATTTTTACTCCAATTTCAAATCAGTTATGTTCGGCTATATATGCCAGCAGTCTCAATCGAGTACAAATTTCTAGCGTCTGGTTATTCTAGTCTACACACGCCGTTCGATTTGGTGCAATGTGTCTAGTCTCGTCCCTCGAATCTCTTTTTACAACTGCGGCTGGAGCGCATTATGGTACACGATTCGTGTACCAATGGTAAAATGTTTATTTTGTCTTAAATATTGGATATCAAAAGCCTATCTTATTCTGGTAAGATCACAACATTAATGTTGATTTAATTTGACAAATAAATCGTGTTTTCAATGTTAAAGATTTTGGATGATATTGAGTTAGAGACTTAGCCACTTTAAATAGACTTCCATAAAACAAAACGTGTTCTTTCTCCAAAGATAAATCTTTTAATCAACAATTATGAGTGGAAACAATATGTAAATGAATGTTATTCGAGACTAAGAATAATAGATTAAACTCTTTTGATATTAAGAATGTTTGTGCCTGGAGGTAAAGAAAATATTTATTTAATTTTCCAATCACAGAATTCTACTTTCCTGTTTCACATCATTAATTTTTCGATTAAGAAAGAAAAGCACAGATTGCCGACAATACACTTTATTTTTTCATTTCCCGGGTACTATAAATCGCTATTGACGACGTTTTCTGGCAAAGATTGAAATTCCGATTTGGCAACAGTCCGAGTCTGCACTAATTTTCAAAACCTTACTTCGTAATTCAGTAATAAAATGACACCATGATAGTGTCAGCTACCTTCATAAATAATGCTGCAATTTAAAGCTAAAATTGCATTTGTGTAAAATCATATGTTTAAAATAAGTTAAAATAAAGCCTTAAAATGCATGGAATCGATACACATTCCTACCGCGTTAAAGAATAATCCAATATAATTTACTAGTGTCAGTTGGGAAATATGTCATTTTCTATTTCAAACCAAAACATTGACGTTTGAAAGGGTCATGGTAGCATTTATGGGTGCAGGTAGGCACCATCAAAACAACGGAGGTAATTTTGCCTCGGTCAACCACTCATCTTTATCCTTATCTTTTTAATCACAGACCTTGACAATCAAGACAACTCCCTTATTCCATTATGTAAAATAAAAAAAGCTTTCAGGGAAAAATCATAAAATTTCAAAGTTGTGTGGGCGAGTAGAATATTGTTTACTATCATCAAGTATTCGTTGACACCAGTTGACAGAGTTCTCTCCCAAGTTGTAGCAACTCAAAGGAAAAGATTTAAAAACACTGAACAAGTAGGCTTGTTATTCCAAATTGTTCTTGACAGCAGCAGTTTTTTGATATGCGTATAATTTAGTGCTTATAAAGGTCACTGTTTTCGTCAAAAAAAGGTACCGCTGAGTAATACACTGTATAGTTATTGAACACGGAATTTCAATATATCTGAACAATAGAGCGTTTGTTGTAGATTTTATTGATCTTTGAATGTGCGCGACTATCGATTTTTTTTTCCTGTAGACAGAAAATAATTTCAGAATCGAACGCAGATTTTATTATTTTCATTGAAAAACAGTATTAAAAAGAATTATAACAGGAAACTTGTGTTTTCAAGAAATATAAAGTCTAGTGTAAAGAAAGTTTATCATTATTGATATTTCGGAGGTAGGCTGACTGTCAGCACTGTCTGGAACTCATCTATCTCTTACGTACGATACGACAGCGTACACGATGATGACCCAACTCTTCTCTTGCATGGCCATAATTTTTTGTCACACATTAAAAGTACTTTCAATTGATGTTGTAAGTGAATTTTTAGAAACAAAAGTTTTGGATGCTGGATGTGACACAACTTCATCTATTAAGTCTGTAACGACTAGAAGTAGATTGGAGTGTGGTAATTTTTGTTCTCAAAAAGTAGACTGCAGAAGATATCTGAGTTGTTTGAAAGCGGATGGGACGTTTTCATGCAGGTTTTATGACGCAGGACAGAACTGTGGTGGTGATCCATCGGATTGCGTCTGTTATAGAAAGGTTTGTATGACGTTATAACTTTACTATCAGAACATACTTTTCTTATTCCTCGGTCAAATCAATAATGGTGTGCCGCAAAAACATAGTAAGTGGGTTGGGGTGTGCACAATAAAACATAAAATACAACAAAGAATACAAGAAAAAGGGTTAAACTCAAGGAGACAGAAGTTTGACGTTTTGCAAAGGACATGTACACTGTGTACATCGGCGGATTATTGATGAAGTGGCATTGTAAACTTAGGCGGTATCTCGCCTGAAATAATCCTGAACGTGTTTTCCTATGAGCAGAGCTGCAGCTAACTTTGACTTGTACCTACGCTTTTAAGGAGTCCTCCCCACTCCCCAAAAAGGCGATGGGGGTCCTAAGGTTAAAATGATAGATTCTTTAGCACAAATGTTGTAAAATATATATATATATATATATCCATACATAAGTCATAATATTTAGCAACTAGGCAGTAGGCTTTGTAAAAGAGTGGCGCAGAATGGATCATTATTTTATTCCAGAGTTTCAGTTGCTTTTCTTTTCAAGGAAACTGAATATGATATTATATAAAATTAATCAATTTCATTTTATTGGTTATTTCCAGTTTAACTTGCAATTTGTTTTCAAGAAACCATGTATAATGAAAATAAATGAACATTTAAAACAAAACTTGATTTGCACTGTAGCAATAATCAAGATTCATTTTAGAATATCGGTAAATAATAAGGATATTTGTTTTAAAAAGAACTCGTATCAGCACACAAAATAGCCTATTTTCATATACGATTCTAATTTCAATGCTTAGAATTTTTTTTTTAAAATATGAAGTAACATAAAAAAAATATACAGTCGAGAATGTAAAACGCAAGCGATAGCAAATACACAATATGTCGGTAAACTGAAAATGTTCTAACCTTTTAGGGGGGTGGCTGAATGGCTGAATGGTTAGCGTGCGCGCGCTGTATCATAAAGTCTGTCATTGAGTCAACTGGCGGGGTTTCGAATCCCCGGTTGTACGTGACAAGGAGTAGGGTCGCCTGTCCAATCTCGTGGGTTTTCACCGGGTCCTCCGGTTTCCTACCACTGATAAAGACCCCTACGCGCAAGCAAATTATTGAAATAAAATTAAACCATATGTTAGTCCCGAAATGACCTAGTTTGTGTCGAGTGGACGTTAAACCCCATTTTTCTCTCTCCCTCTAACCTTTTATACCCTTCATTTTATTGTAGGCCTAGTCGTATAATTATCGTTGTCACTTCTGTCCTTTGAGTTCTGTACCTTTGTAACGAAACTCTGTTAAACCCCTACAATCATTACTCGATATTTATACGCCCACATTTTCATGTGGACTTATTATGCCGTCGCCCCTGTTTGTTCGTCCGTCCGCCCGTCCACAATTTGTTTGTGGACACTCTACAGGTCACTCAACGAAACTTGAAATATAGGTTTATCTCCATAAGATATCGGTTCCTTTCGATATTGGCATGTATCGGACCGTAACTTCATGGATTATGGCCCCTGATTGTACGAAAAATCGCGTTTTTAGCTTGTGGACCCTATAGAGGTCACAATTTTTATCCGATTTTGTTGAAACTTGAAATGTAAGTTTATAATCCATAGATCTCAATTCCTTGCGATATTCGCGCATATCGGACTGTAACTTCCTGAATTATGGCCCCTGATTGTACGAAAAATCGCGTTTTTAGCTTGTGGACCCTCGAGAGGTCACAATTATTATTCGACTTAAAAACAACGTTCAAATATATCACCGTTACACCGTAATTTTGGTTGAGTTCGAATTGCGGACGGAAATTGCGGACAAAATTAGTCTAAACATCTGGTATACCAAAATTTTGATCTGATTTTGATGAAACTGGAAATGCATGTTTATAACCTAAAGATCTTGGATCATTTCGATATTCGGGCATATCGGATGGTACCTTCCTGAATTATGGCCCCTGGTTGTATGAAAAATCATGTTTTTAGCTTGTGGTCCCTCTAGAGGTCACAATTATTATCCGATTTAAAAACACGTTCGAATATATCACCGTTACAACGTAATGTTCATTGAGATAGAATTTCGAGAAAATTGGACCAAAATTGCCGGACAAAATGGCCGCCCCTCGTACGCAAATAGTGTATAACATCTTGTATATCAAGGTTGTGGACCCTCTAGAGGTCACAATTTTGATCCGATTTTGATGAAAATTGAAATACATGTTTATAACCCAAAGATCTTGGTTCCTTTTGATATTCGCGCATATCGGATAGTAACCTACTGAATTATGGTCTCTGTAAAGGTCACAATTTCTATCCGATTTAAAAAAAAAACATGTTAATATATCACCATTACACACTAAAATCTTGGTTCCTTTTCATAATCGCGCATATCCGAACGTAACTTCCTGGATTATGGCTCCTGATTGTTCGAAAAATCGCATTTTTTAGCTTACACAATTTTTTTCCCATTTTAAAAACCATTTAAATATATCACCATTCCACCATAATGAAGGTTGAATTCGAATTTTGGGAAAATCGAAATGAAATTGCCTGACAAAATGGCCGCTCTTTGTACGCAAATTGTGTAAAAGTATGCAATATGAAGGTTGTGGGCCCTCTAGAGGTTACAATTTTTATCCGATTTTGATGAAACTTAAAACATATCTTTATATCACAAAGATCTCAGTCCCTTTTGATATTTACGCATTTCGGACCATAACTTTCTGGATTATTGCCCCTTATTGTACAAGAAATCATGTTTGTTTTGAGCTTGTTTTCTATCCATCTCTTGCAAAATGTGGGCGTATCCTGCCTGGCAGCCGCTGGTTAAAATTGTATTTAACTTGTGTAGTTGAAAGATTCGAAGTAGGCTATTGAGATCCAACTGTTACAGGTTGCCTAATTAGCAGCTATTTCAGATGCTAAATTGTGGAGTTATGATAATCGGATAAATAAATGGAGAATAGGGATATTATGATAATATTGTATATAGTTTTAATGGCACTTTTCAAATGACAATGATAACACGATGAAAACCAAATAAAGGATGGTAAACAGCGTGGTTAAGGAAATATCAAGAAGAAAAGTACTATTTAGAAGGTTATTCCTTTCCCCCCATTAAAAGATCTAGATTGTTAAGATATTTATCAGGGCGTACGATAGAAGTTGCTCTTTGTTCATTAAGTGTATCTAAAAAAAGAAGCACGGTTGGACTAGGACTTATTAAAGAGCGCATGGCTCTATTCTTTGGAACATTAAAATAAACGAAAATGGGTGTAAAAGCGCAATTTAATGTAATATGAATCTATATAAAGTGATCTATATTCAATTTTAAACTAATTTATTATGATTTTAATCGATTATGTTCCATAAAATACGAGAAGAGTCCAAATTGAACGACAATCGTTTACGCCTACCTCGTCCGATCTACACGTTTTGTGATTATTATTTTGTCGTTTGTGAATCAGCCATTACTAATTACTATGGAGCGGAATTTCCCCCATAATTCTAACTTCTAACCTAGTAATGCATATGCTAATATGCTTACTTCTATGCATGTAACTTCTTACTAACACATGTTAAATTGGCTATTTACACATTTAAAAATGCTAATTTATATGACTTATTTTTTAAATATTGCAGTTAGAATTTGTAGTTTGTTCTATTTCCATTATTACTTTTAATTTATTATAGGCAGTTTAGCTTCGTTAACATTTTGACATTTTACAAATGGTTCGCGGTAAAGGCGTCATAATTCTAAGCTCATTTTGGTAACAGATGGCGCTGTTTACAATTGTATGGTGGCTCTTTGGGAACATGTAAAATTGACCCGACAGACATGACATTTTTCTGTCAAAAATAACAAAAATATTTTACGTACAAAAGCATACTATTCTAGATATACTATTCAAAAAAAGTAGGGGATATTTGATTTTGGGGGCATAATACTAAAATATGCAAATGACTACGAAAAAAGTCACTATAGAACCTAACAGAAGAAACATTTCCAGTTACATGTGACGCCCAAACGCACCAATAGCTACCGCATGGAATGCAGGTGATGCTTGGGATCATCATGGGGGTCCAACCCAAGATTTGCACGACTCTGACTTTGAATGTTACAGTCATTGTGGCATTGAATTCCAGGGTGGAAACATCAGTTTAATTGTTTTAGTGACCAGAAAACAAATTTTGATATGCGTCGGCGTACCCAAAATGAAAGGTTACGTGCCCTTGGCATGCTACAGATCGGCACAACACAGGCGGTTGTGGCGCGGACGATGAATGTTTCTCAGTCTGTCATAAGCAGGCTATGGTCCAGATACCGTGATACACAATCTGTACAGGACAGACCACGCTCAGGTCGACCAAGGGCGACAACTCAAGCCCAGGATCGATTTATCCGTACCTTGGCCTTGAGAAATCGTGTCATCACAGCAAATCAGATCAACGCTCGTCTTCAAACAGACACTGGTGTGAGAGTGAGTGGCCAGACGATTCGGAATCGACTGCATAGGGGTCACCTTCGCGCCCGACGTCCTCGCGTGATCCCTTGTTTGAGAGATCATCACATTCAGGCAAGACGTCGTTGGTGTAGGGAGCAATGTGATGTTTTCAGATGAGTCAAGGTTCACTGTTGATTTTTTGGACAGACGTAGGAGGGTGTGGCGTCGTCGAAACGAGCGCTTCCAAGACGTTAACGTCATCAGACATGATCGATTTGGGGGTGGTTCTGTTATGGTGTGGGGAGGCATCACTGTTGCTGGAAGAACGGCTTTACATGTTGTTGCAGGGCGTGTTACAGGCCAGTACTACCGGGACAACATCTTGGCAGTCCATGTTGTGCCGTTCGCACGACGTCATGGCCGCCGTTTCATCTTCCAGGATGACAACGCAAGATGTCACAGGGCCAGGATCGTTACAGGTTACCTCCAACAACAGAACATCACCACATTACCTTGGCCAGCACTGAGTCCCGACCTCTCCCCCATCGAGCATGTCTGGGACATGCTT